TCTCTCACATAATTAACTTCGAAGTGATAGTTAAAATATATAAAAAGAAGGGATGTCCAATAAACCTTGATTACCCTTGAACCTAGGGGCCGGTGTGACGTGAAGACGACATGTCTGTGACAGCGATTTCCATCCTCAGGACGAGCCCACATGTGACCATCTTGACGTTTGCTTTCGAACTGCGCTGCTTGGCTTTGCAACTTCCTCTTCAGAATTACATCGGCTGCGTATGCTTTATTTGCTTGGTTGCGGATTTCAAGAGCCCGTCATTGTTGGTTGGAGTGTGCATCATGTGCTCCTGCGGGACACTGTACCAGTCGAATCGGCCACCTGGCAAACGGCGTCTTCCATCGTCTCAAGAGCCGGGATTAGCGAAGATGACGGGGCTTGTCAGATCGGGGCTTGTTGAAGCACATGTCATGTCGTTGCGTGATTGGGAATTACGCCTGATCGCATGATGTTGCTTAAAATCTTTCATCTTCCTGCGGTTCACTACACCGGCAAGTGTAGAGCCAATATCTGATTTGGCTGTTGACATGTAAGGTAGGCACTTCACTATTTGATTGTCATGTTTAAGATATTCAACAGATGATTTTATCAGTGTCGCTTTCCTAATGGTTTTCGCTTTTAGGGCAATTAGGTAATATTTGCTCATTGAGCTGTGCAGGATTTGCATGCAAGGAATTCATGCGTGCCCTCAACTTGATGACCCAAATCCCGAGGTACAGGATTGGGCAGCGATCAGTCAACCCTAATCTCAAAGGTTCCCTTCAGTCTCAGTAATATGAGAAAACGCATGTTCTTCGCCTAAGCATTTCAAAATTGTTTGTCAGTCACAATCATTCATCATTTACAATCAACGTGTTACGTAGTATAGAGGCAATTTTATACCTTTCAATGTAGCCTATTCTTATAGAGTATTATACAAAACATTAATAATTATTCAATAAAATCTTGGTTCCTCTAGGTGCACTAATTACTATTAGTGAAAATTTCCCATAAGGAATAGGCCTTCCGATACCTAATAATAACGGTATTCCCATTCCGGCTGGACTGTAATGCAGTCGGTGAGATAAGTCTGAGTGGGGTATGTTGAGGCCTACTTAAACAATCATGGGAAACTTCCATTTTAAGCCCTTAAACCACCTTAATAAAGTAAGGTTTACTAAGTTATTACACCATATATTTGCCAATCCAGCCTGCTTGGCCAAAATCAGGCAGAGGCGCAATTGATGCAGAGGCAAAAAAGGTATGCCTTCCTTTAAAAGTGGTCTATGCTTTTGTCGCGGAAAAGGCACATTCAGAAATGGATCGGCCATAGAAACGCCAAACTTTTCAGTTTGGCAACTTCTGCACACTGGCAGTTTGGAGTCGAAGCCAAGTTCTATAAGACTGTACATGCATATTAAGATAGTTACATAAAATAATACGAAAGTTAAAACAATATCAACGTCTCTGTTCACAATCTATTCATAAGCACAATTTATATACCCCCGACGGTGATTAAATGAACAAGCTTTCATATGCATTGGATAGTATTCTTTACATTCCACTAAAATGATAATCTTTGTCACATAGCTTATGATATGTTAGCCCATTTTCCTTGAAAACTAAACAATGAATTTCGTGGGTTGTGCCAAAATAAATGACATAATGAAATCAAGCAAGTTACGCAAAACTAGATATATCGGTCCCAGTAAAGTGAGGTCGGACCAATGAGAACATCTTAAGTAATCTATACATAGAAAACAATTCATCAAGATTAAAGAAAATTCTGGGCATTACTCATTATTCATTGTTGATTATTCATTATTCATTAATCATTACTCATTTATGATTATTCATTATAAATTATAAATTATAAAGTATGAATTATAAATTATAAATTATTCACTATAAATTGTTCATTACTCATTATTCTTTATTGGTTATTCATTATTGGTTATTCATTATTGGTTATTCATTATTGGTTATTCATTATTCATTATTCATTATTGGTTATTCATTATTGGTTATTCATTATT